TGCTTCTTCCCTCTAATTTTATTTATCATTAGTAATTAATATTTCCAAATTTCAGGAAATTTTCTCTGGTATAATCCTGAAATTAATTCTAGCAGTATGATGACATCACGAAATTTAATGCACATATTTTTTCCTTATGTATGCTGTGAAATAAATATAAAATACCTCAATTTAGTAAAAAAATTATCATTAAATAGATTTTTTCTTTCATTTAGCTGCAGAATGTCTGCAAAAAAAGCCTTATTTTATTCCAGATTGGGGAGATTCTAATCTCAATCTTCAGTGGAGAAAACAACTCCTATTATAATTATATTTGTGTTTTCAAGTGTTAAGGTGCCTTTTAAGAAGACACCTCACACAAATTAAATTTACCTAAAATCTAAATTAACTTTTAGCATTGCGTTGTGATTTATAAGAACCAGATTAGCCTCATGTTGAACTGGTGATGATCATGAGTAATGATTAAATAAAACATACAATTGTTATCCAATGTATATATCTTAAATTTTATTAAGTTTTTTAAATGGAAAAGTAAACAAAATTATCAAACAAAGTGTACCAAGAATAATTAAGAATAAATGTCCTCTGGGATTTATTGAATAATTAAGTGAATTTGCTACACAGTACAAGTAATACCATAATTAATTTACCTCTTAGCACAGCCAACGTACGTTATGCGGATAGACTGGAATTTTCTCGAAACATACCTGGAAAACCTGGAAAAGTCAGGGAATTTCATTCTCCTGTTTGAGTGGCAACCCTGATTTAAGCTCAAATATTCATTCATAAATATCTTATACAAATTAACTGTAGTCATATTAACATTGAGACAATTCCAAAGTGTGTTCAGTCTCTTGATAGCACTTTCTTTAGATGAACCCAGCATAAAAGTTTCATCATCCTTCATAGGTAATTTTACTATGTATCTACGTGCTTTAACATGCAAGTGTGTTTCATTAAAATGCTCTTTGCAAAATATGTCTTCATTCTTTACGACTCATTACCATCTTCTGGAAGAGATTCTAATTCGAAAAACTTCTTAAATACATTATCAAGATTTGATTTCTTTATCAAACAATAGCAGGATTGTTTATTAACAGTAGGTTGCTAAATAGCCAAGTTCTGTGTTTTGCAGTATTATGTTTCCATTAAGCACTTGAACTCTTCTTTCAAGATGTTAAAGAATAATTCATTTCCTATTAACATATTGATTTTACCAGGTGTGCAGAATTTTAGGGTCTGCTAGTTTTATGTCATTATGTATACCTAAATTTGAAATATCCAATTTGGATGATCTGTTATGTTTGGAATAATATACAATTCTAAATTGTGAGAAAAGGTCTCTGTTTCATTCGAAATTGATCCACTTATTCCTGAAATGCATGTTCGAATGGGCTACCCATTCTTTGGTTACAAAATTCATTTGCGAACTGGAGTGCAGTAGGACTCTTATTCTTCAGCATTGCCCAAACACATTTGTCCCATAAATAATCAGACTGTGTTCAGTAAGACAGACATTTTGTGCCCCCGAAGTAACTGTAAGACCATGTACGTCTTGCTGTATATTGTTACCTGATGCTTCTTTGTTAACTGCTTCTTCAAAGGGGTTTAGTTTATGCCAGGGTGACCAAATACAGGGAGTGTCCACAGAATGAATATCATTGACCCTGTGGAGGAGGGAATGATGTTTTTGGAAACAGCAATTGCACGAAAAGTTTAAATTACATTTTCTAGAATGAATTTTTGAACAATTCACATATCATTTGTTATTTTTGACAATAATGAATCTATTCTCAACATTCATATTTTTTAATGTATTACATTTTTAAATGCATTTACATGATTTCCTTTACAGTGGATACATTCTTTTTGTATTGGAATTCTTTGAATTTATCGCAAAACTTTTTATTTTTGCACAGATACCCTGTTTAGGTGGAACTTTAGGCTTATTTTTATGAATGTTTTAGCACTTCAGTTTAATTTTCAAGAAAACTTAAAAATTTATCCAATAATGGAAAGTCTTTGGCTTTTATTGTCAGCTGAAATTGCTTTCAAGTATCTTTGTCAATTAAGAAAAGTATTGATTAATATTGCACTAGATAGTGTATCAAGATAATACTCTAAGGCCTTTTGGGGCATGTAAATTACGTGTGATATTATCTAATAACCAGCTAAAGAATTTAGAATTTAGCTGGTTATTGATGAATTTTCTTTTGCTTTAAAATATTTTGTATATGGCTATCAACTATCGCTCATTTCTTTTCATATCATAATTCTAATGCTTGGAACAATGACTGATGTGTATATTCACAATTCTCGTTATCTTTTGCTTCTCCTTTAAATAAAATTTTTGCATTTTATTTAGTTTCTTATCTTTAGCAATTGATGACAAAATGGGCATTTAAAATTATGAAACTCTTCATATTTTGAGAGTAAGGTAAAGGTATTTTGGGCAGTTTAACATTAGTATTTTCAACATTATTATTCAGTACTGGCAATGTATTAACTTTTGATTTTAATTTTGAAAGAAGGTATTTTAGACTTACCCTCCATTTTCTCCAGATCACCCTCTAGGTTTTCAATATAATCACTGGATTCCTCTATGGAGACCTCTGCTGGAAAGCTAATTCATTCAAGGATTATTTTATTCCTGATAGTGGTTGCAATTTCACTTCTAGAAATAATGTACTACAGTACAAAGTCTTTAATCCGGACGTCCATAATCTGGACCTCAAAGCTACAAACTTTCTGTGCATGCGTGAACGCATAATGCGTTGCGCATGCACATAATACGTTTACGCATGCGCGTTTAATGTATAACGGATGGTATAAGCTAGGCTAAAATTATTTAATTATCTATTTCAGTTAATGATGCAGATTGCGCTGTTCCTTAATCTTCTAATTAAATCCGCCTTATTATTTTTTGCAGACTGTTAGAGCAATTTGATAAAAAATTAAGCTTGAACTTTCGATTATATCAAAAAGAATTTGCTGCAAAAAATGGGTAAAGGCATGAAGAAAGTGTCAGAGAGGTTAGTGAAAATGAAAAAATTTCGATTGACAGGTTAGTCAGCATTCTCGGCACAGCAATTACAGGACTTGAACAGTGGAACTTCATAACTGAACAAGAAATTATGTCTGTTTATAGAATTAAAGAGAAAGTATTAGCACAAAAAATGAAGCAACTTAAACAACTTGCACTGAAAGAAATGTTTAATAAAGTAAACAAATAAATATTAAGCTTTTTTTTTTGTAAAATTTGGTACCCTTTAGATCATAATTGCTCTTTATTTCATAAATTACGGTTTCATATTTTTAATTTTATAATTTCTGCATACCATCTTACCAGATTTAAATTGATGATCTATAATCTGGAAAAACCCCTAATCCGGAATCGCCGAAGTCCCGCTGAGTCCGGATTAAAGACTTTGTATTGTATCTTTATTTTCAATGAAGTCATGCAGAAAATGTTCCAGTTTTGTAATTTTTATCTTTAGACAACTGTGTTGCCTGTTCAGTGATAGAAGATTATCCATGGTCACTTTATCGGGTTGATTAGGACCAAAATGTTGATAGCTGGTGTGGGCTGTATATAATTTAATAAAAGTTGAAGAACTTTACAATATTAATTCCTTTAATATATAATAATGCTGCTTAAATGGCCGAAAGAATAAGTACGGATTGCAGTTTACAACAATTGCCACTGCTTTGAACAGCCAGAGGAAAAGTGACTGGATGTGATCCGAGGGTATACTTATCTCTTACTGGTTACTATTGGTTTCTTGCCTCTGACATTGCATGGCATTACATCAGTATAAATAGGCAAAATTTTTTTAACTGTGACAAAAACAAATGCTTGTAGATAAAAATTTTATTTTTTCTTAAACACAGTTTTAAAATATGCACTTGTAGTATTTGTGTGACGTGCAAGAAATTGCTGTAATTTGAATAATATACAAAATAGCTAAAAGAAACAATTGCTTCGAATCTATTCCTAAAGCAATCATCATGTGATTTTGGAAAAGTGGCGCTTCACAAAATTGCACAGAATTACAGCTTAACTGTCAGAACAGAATCGGTTAGACAATTCTAAAACCACTTTTGAACAGTTTAGTGTGTATGTTGATGCTATGCAACTAGCCACAGAATAGTAAATTAATCAATTGCTGTATTTCTTGATTATGTAGTATTGCTAATTATAATCCTTGTTTAAACTGTGCAATGTTAATTGTATGCTGTGCCGTTCCTACTCCATATCTCCATTGGTACCAAATATTTGTTAATGAAAGTTATTTCTAATGCTAACATGTGTGTTTACTAATACCTTTTATTTTCTTTTTGCTTGCTCTTTCATTTGTTACTGTTATTCAAGTAATTAAGCCTGCTTGTTAGTTATTCTTTACTTCGTGCTAACAAGTAAAGAGCATCTGACAATTTCCTTCTTGGCTGCTGTTGGCTTTGGAAAGTAAAATTGTAACCTTCAGCTTTTTGAAATGGAGAGTTCCTCTATGGAAAGTTTGAAGACCCCCTCTAGTGTTCTTAAGGGGAGAGGAAAACTTTTGCTTTATGTGGTTAAATTCTCCTGTAAGCAACGGGGGAAAGAAATTTTGATTCGCACAGTTAGAGTATACCTGAGCATTTATATCTATCAGTCCCCCATCAGATTGAGGGAAGATCCTTCTTTTGATAGTTATGATTTTTAGCCTATTAACACATTTTCTGAAAAAGTCATATGCCCTCTTATTACCGTGAACCAGTTCATTGAACTATTCTTTTATTTTCTTCTGTTGTTAGAAATTTATTTTTAAATGTTTTTTCTAAAATGCTTTGCTAAATTTAAAATTATTTTTTAGAAATTCATATAAATGTTACATGTGTCTTCAAATGTAACATTTTATATACAGATGTAAAAGAATGAATATACAGGTTTATATGAAAAACATTCATATAATGATAATAATCATTTTTAATGTGTGTTTGTATCTTTCAAAATATTTCAGATTCCTTACATTGAAACCAGTGCCAAAGATCCTCCACTAAATGTAGATGCTGCATTTCATGAAGTTGTGAGAATAATCCGGTTAGTATGCAGGCATTACATTTTTCATACTGTGAAATTTTGCTTAACAGCCTTTTCTGATTAATAAATTATATATACGAGGCATATTCGTAAACTAAGTACCGTTTTGAAAAAAAAAAAAAAAAAAAAAAAAGTAAAACAATTTTTTCGAATCCAATTTTATTTTTACATGAAAATACATGTTTTAAACTATTTTTCAACATAGTTTCTGCCAATGATCAAACACTTGTCATAGCGGGTGACCAGTTTTTGTATACCATCGTAAAAGAAACTTCCCGCCAGTTTTGATAACCACGACTCCGCAGCATTTTTCGTGTCATCGTCAGATCCAAAGCACTTGCCACCAAGCTCGCGCTTCATGTGCAGGAACAAGTGATAGTCAGACGGCGCCAAGTCCGGGCTGTACGGCGGGTGATCGAACTGCTCCCAATGAAACTGTCGAATTAACGATTGAGTGACACCAGCAGTATGGGGCCGAGCATTGTCATGGAGCAACACAATTCCTTTACTGAGCATTCCTCTTTGTTTGTTTTGAATGGCACGCCTTAGTTTTGTTAAAGTCTCACAATATCGTGCCACATTAATGGTTTCACCCCTGGGAAGAAATTCAGTAAGCAAAACACCTTTCCTATCCCAGAAGACAGTGCACATGATTTTTTGTGATGACATTGTCACTTTGAACTTGTGTTTTTCGGAAAATGAGTGTGTCTCCACTCCATCGATTGTTGTTTCGATTCTGGTGTGAAATGACACACCCAAGTTTCATCACCTGTCACAATTTGGTTTAAAAAGTTTTCTCCCTCATCACTGTACCGCGTGAGAAATGTCAGGGCACTACCAAATCGCTTTGTTTTGTGAAGATCAGTGAGCATTTTTGGAACCCATCGGGAACACAGTTTGCGATAATTCAAGCGGTCAGACGCAATTTCGAACAAAACAGTACGTGAAATTTGTGGAAATGCCTCTGAAAGAGTTGTCATTGTGAAGCGTCTGTTCTCATGAATTGCTTCATCAACTTTCCTTACCAAATCATCGGTGACAACAGAAGGCCGACCACTCCGAGCCTCGGCGTGGACATTTGTTCGACCTGCATTAAACATTCTTACCCACTTTCTCACCATTCCATCACTTATCCCGTATTCACCGTAAACTTCTGTCACTTGACGATAAATTTCGGCCGGTTTAACATTCCTCACGTTCAAAAATTTAATCACGGCACGAATCTCACAGTCAGCGGGAGAACTAATTGTCTTAAACATTTTGAATGTGCACAGCAAACTGAAAACACAACATAGAGCAACCAAAATGGCGACAATTGAAATTGTACAAGAAAGACTAGTGCGCATGCGCGGGACGCCTACCACAGCGCTGCGACGGCGCTAGAATGAAACGGTACTTAGTTTACGCTACGTATTTATATTATCGTATCTAATATAATTTTAGGAAAGGGAATTGAGAGTGTACATTTAAAGCAAAATGACTTAATCTGAAAATAATTGCAGACATTCATTTATGAAATTTTTAAAATAAGAATCTTGTAAAGTAATATCCTCTTGAAGAAATGCTCTTTTAAGGAGTCAAATTATTTTGTGTATTTCTTGTCAAGAAATAACTATACGAATATTTATCGCAATATCTTTCTTTTTATATGCCATTATATATACAGGTAGCCCTTTTATAACATGGTAGATAGGTTCTTACAAAATGCTGTGTTGCGTGAAACTGTGTTGTACGAGAACCAGAGGCATTATAAAAAGGGGGGTTACGTTCCGAAAACTTATTAAAAGCAATTTTTTTTTAATTCTACACAAACAACCTAATTTTTATTAAACATATATATGTATGTTACCGTGAATGACCGAAATGCAGCATGTCAACATTCACCAAATACGTAGGTGAAAGATCGAATAATGCATTACATTCTTGTACATTCGGACCCTCACCGGTGTATGTCGACAATCACAGGTATGCTCTGGTGTTAGTTGAAAAGAGAGGAGTATATGTACATGCTGTCATTACAAAAGGAAATGTTCCACAAATGAATACAGTTGTAAAAGCAAGGGCTTCTTGTGCAATTCAAAGTGTCATAATAGTTTAAGTTGTTGCAATAAATTAGATTTGAATCACATAATTTAGTAAGTTTTTAACTTCTATTATTTTCCTTTCTCATTTTGAATGTACTGTGTGTTTTTAAGATCAAGTTCTTATATCAAATCTCAAGTCCGTTTTTTCACGACTGAATTACGGAGAAGAAAATATAATATTCTTATATGTTCAACATTCACCATTAGTACATAGTGAATGTGGACATTTACCAGTGCAAGTCAGAAATAAGAGTATTTGGAAAATATTTCGGACATACACCAAGCGATCATGTGAACGTTGACATTCACCGGTGAAAGTCGACATAATGCACAACACAAAACAAAAAATATTACATATTTTAATTTAACACAACCTTAGTTTAATAAATTTCTTCATTGTCACTGCTCAGTATAATCAACCAAGAAGGTTTTGTTTGGTGGAATGAGATGGCTTTCACTTTCAGAATTTCTTTCTTCATTTAAAGTTCAGGCATTTTCTTCCCTCTTTAAAAAAATCTGTTGTAATTTTATTGGCTTACTAGTTCTTACCGGGTCAATGTAAATTTCTCAATATGGAGATAAACAGTTTTGCAGCTCCCTTTTGAATTTTCGACTTAGCTCAGCAAAAGGGTCTGTACTCAAGAAAAATGATTCAAGATGTTCAGCTAAGCTTAGGCTTTCTTTTAATTTTTTTAATTTAAATTATTAACGGCACTATCTCCATCAGTGCTAGTGTCCTCAGAATTGATTTGATTTATGACTTTTGGTGCCATTTCCATTAAATCTGCTTCGTCAATTTCTTCTTCTGCTAACAAATCTTGGAACGTTCTCAATAGCCATGTTGACAAAACCTTCGCCTTCGATTGATTTAGCAAGTTTTAATAAGCCAGCATTTTAATTTTTTGACGATTCATGTGCATTTTCTATTTCATCTGAAGATGGACATATCTTTTTCTAACATGCATTTAACGCTGATGCATTCAGTTCTTTGAGTGGCAAAGATATGATGTTGATACAGTGCTTGATTGAAAATGTTTTCCAAACTTCCATTACCTTAATTGATTTTGAATCTGTTACGTCTAAAATGCACTGTAATGCTCTTCTTATGTAATATGTTTTAAAAGTATAAATAATACCTTGATCTAATGGTTGGAGTAACGAAGTAGTGTTAGGTGGTAGGAACATTATTTTGACGTTGGGATGATTCAAATCCTGTGATTGACATGGAGCATTATCTAATAGTAATAGAGCCTTGAAGCTCAAATTTTTCTGCCTTAAAATAACATTCAGCATCTGGCACAAAACAATTTAAAAGCCAAGTTTTAGCTTCATAATCAGCCGATGCAGATTCTCCTTAAATTCTTATGCTATGAGTTGCAAGACGCTTTTTGAAATTTTCTAACCAACCTTTACTTGCCAGAAAATCTGGGTTGAGAGAGGATTCTCCTTGTTTTTTAAGGTGCTTGAAAATTTTGAGTGCTTTTTGTGTAATGATATTAACATCCAATGGAATTCTTTTTTGACTGCTATCATCAATCCAAATGCTGAGTGCCTTTTCCATTTTCTCAATTATTGGGGCCGACTGGGACGAACTGCATGTTTTGTGAATGCCAAAGATCCTGCAGCAACTGCATTTCTTTTTTATTTTTCTTAATAGTCCTGACTGTTGCTTCATTCATATTAAAACGTTTTCGAATGTGAGATGCTTTTTCTCCTTTTAAACGATGGTCCATAATTTGTCTCTTTACTTCTAAAGAAATTAATTTCCTCTTAAACATTGTTTTTATCTTTATCAGACATGCTTTGAGACTGAAAATTAATGTCTTAAAGATGAAAAAGTTATTCTTTAACACACTGTGGTTAAACGCAGACTGCCGACCAGCAGCAGGAGACACTTTCTAATTTTCAGACCACGGAGATGAGGATTCAAATTTTGGAAGCTGAATGTGCAAGTTGAGACTAGATATTTTTTATGTTGTGCTGAAGGTCATGGAAGGAATGATTTTCCTCCATTACCGGTTAAGAATTCAATGGTTGCTCTCCACCACATGGCTCGTCTCCCTGAGACGAGATTTGCTCTTAAGGATACTGGATCTTGAAAGACAACTGGCAGAACTTATGAAACGAGGATTCTTATATGTTAAATGACTGTATGGGTGCTTTGCTCAATATGGAAAATCTTCGTGTAGAGTTCATTTAATTTATTCGGATTGCTTGGGCAATTTTCTTATCATGTTAGAGGAAAACAGTGTTGTAGGAAGGTTTTCGCAATTTATGAATCATGTTATAGTGAAACCGTGTTACAGGATGCCGTGTTGTAGGAGGGCTACCTGTATATACAGTGGTGGCCAAAATTGTGGACACTTTTGGAAATTTTTATGTTTTTGAACTTTGTATGCTTATAGAAAACTTTACGTTTCACAAAATGCAAACTTGTATATATCATTTTAAAGAGAATTTATTACTGAATTCAATACAAAACACAAAATTGAATTATTTGCAATACAAAAAAAGTTAAAACGATAATAGTTATCGATATACATTAGATAATGATGATTGCAGTGAGCTGTCAGTACTTAGTAGGGTACTCTTTATTTTTTATTACAGCTTCACATCGACATTTCGTTGAGCTGACAAGAGTTTTAAGCTCTTCTTTTGTTATTACATGATGCCAGGAAACAATTATAGCCTCAATGAGTTCCCTTTTATTTGATGAGCGCCTCATTCGGACAAGGGTTTTCAAACGGTACCACAAATTTTCGATAGGATTGAAGTCAGGACTGTTTCCATGGCCATGACAACAATTTGGCCATGGAACTCTTTGTACGAAACCATTCTTTCGATATTTTGGCCGTATGGCAAGGAGCAGAATCCTGCTGAAAAATAAATGAAGCATTGTTATGAAAGAGATCTCTG